TTTTTTTATGATAGCACATGCATGGAAATTTATAAAACATCCTACAGTTATTTCATTAATTACTAAGATGCAACTATGGATGTAAACTAGGTTCCAGTTATACAAATCCATATACTAACGAACGTGAGTACAAACTTTATTTTTCCAAATCAACCCATGACTTTCTAAAGCAGAAAATCTAATTATAAACTAGTAGAAGGAGTCGGTTAAGAACTGGCTGTGTTCTCACTGGGTGTCAAGTGAAAAAGTTTTCGCATCTTTATGGCTCCTCATTACTGTCACTAACCTTATAAGAAGATACTATTTGCACACAGAAACATGAGACTATACAAGATGGTTAAAAATCATACCTGTGTTTTCCAACTATGCTTGGATTTTGAGTTAAAATACTCAAATACTCCGGCACCACACTGGGACAAAGTCCTTAAGATATGATGATTTGCTGTAGAACTAATCACATATCACATGTTTTAATTTTCAAGAAATGTTAGACAACTGTTGAAGTACATGTCAACAACACTGACAAAGCTCAAAACTGAATAAGAAAGAGACCATTTGGCTGACTCTTTGATGATAGAAATAAGCAAACATGTAGGAATTCTTGACTTCCGGTTTATATAAGGTGGGAGTAGATTCTGAAAACAATTCCAATGGCGTCAGAATGCTGACTGGGAGATCAACCTACTGCTGATGAATGTCAGTTACCTGAACCTGATCCCAAAGGCCAAGAATTGGCAAATGGGTCGACAAAGATTATACTTTAAATTGTGATACATCACGTCTAGATAACACAAGGTGTAAAAGAAGTAACTCCCATCCCAGCAAAGATAATCCGTGATACTTAAGTGACAAGTATCCTATTAAGTTTCCTGCCAGTCTGCCCTGGTGCTGCACCCAGTAAGTAAAGCAGAAATAAACGTCTGGTGCCTTTGGAGCTTGAGTATCTGAGTCATGCTCATTAGCACAACCTGGGCATCTCCATTCTGAGGCAATGTGGAGTCTGGAGATTCGGAGCTCCATGAAGATGTACTTCCAGACCTTCAAGACAGCTTGGAAATTGGGTTTTTATGCAAATGTTAATAGCTAATGTTGATTGTGTGCTTCCCATATGTAAGTTCAGTTCTAACTGCTGTCTCTAAGTGAACTGGTTTCATTTTCACAACAACCCTTTGAGGTAGATTATTGTCCAAAGTCACAACTAACAAATGGTCAACTCAGGTTGTGAAAACTAGGTATTCTGGGCCCAGAGACTTTGCTCTTCACCTCTATGCTACACAATTTTTATATTCTAGTATCAGCTTCAAAACATTCACAAACCCTGGAAAAACCAGCTAAAGTTTCTTTCTGCAGGCTACTCACCCAGTGCCACAGGTGAACAACCTGGTGTGTTGGACATGTCTTTTCACGAGCTGGAATGTTAGGCTCTCGTTTTGAATGTGCCCATCAGATATAAGGAGGATGTTCCGTAGCCCTTGAGAAGGGTACAGCAAATTTAAATAGCGGAGAGTTTTCCAGAAATCTGTATTCCCCATGGTAGGTGTTGCGGCCTGGAGAAGTGAAGGAAGATTGTTGACTTGTCATTGGGAAGGGTCACTATTAATTGTCACCATTTCCTGAAGCACATGCCTCCTGAGATACCCTCATTGAAAGGATTCTTTTTTCTGCTTATATGTTTGTGGAACAACTATACTGACATTCTTTTAGTTTACTTTCAGTTCACACAGTAACAAGATTATTGTCACTTTGTACCTATTTTACTCTTTATTACAGTTTTCAAAGAACTTCAATTATGGGAAGAAACATCATATAAAAGTTGGCCAGGCTAGACTGAAGCAGGGTCTGGTCACTCTTACCTTTCCCCATTTTAAGAGAAACCAAATAAGAGAGAGAGAGAAAAAAAAAGAAAACATCCCTGGTGTGGCACTGTAGGATAAGCAACCACAAGGTTGAAGGTTCAAACCCACCAGCCAATCCTCGGAAACCCTGTCCAGCACAGGGTCGCTATGAGTTGGAACCAACTTGATCGCACTTAACAACAACAGTGGTGGCTGCATTTAGACAGTGGGACTATGAATGATATTTTTATTGCTACTTTTTAAATATCCAATATTTCTTCAAAGAGTACACATCACTTTTATTAATGAGGTCAAAAAGCCTGCCAATAGACAACAACGAAAGAACTAGGGCTTTGCTGATGATGGCCTAAGAGAAAGTGAATCTTCAACAATATTATCAAAACTCAAGAGAAATGCATGCACAAGACAAAGACTCTATGACTCACCTTAATGAACTCTGCTGGCATATCACTGCTGGTAATGCACTTAGGGTATGAAAATAATTCCTTGTAACCTGCATAATAAGATTAGCATGAGGTGTTACCATTACGCATGCACTCTGCCAACTGTTAACAAATAATCATGTTACTTTATACCGGCACTGCTGTCCACAAGGCTTTGTTGTACATTTATGTGCATGCCTTACTTTATGTCTGATTATTTTAACACAGTATCCCTTTAAATCATAAATTCTAGTACTTTCAAAATATGCATTTTACTATTCAAAGTGTTATGAGTCATATGAAATGTGTAGAGCTCTGTTGTGTAATGTTTGGTGAATGTAATAAAGGTGTGGGGGTTCCCTAGTGCTGGCAGCGTGGCTGTGGAGGAAGATGCGTGCTCCATGTGTATGCACCCGCTCGGCCTGCTTACTTGGATTGACACAGGACCAACAAGTATGGGCTCAAATTGTGAGGACAGTGCAGGCCGTGGTAATGTTTTGTTCTCTTGTGCATAGGGTTGCTATGAGTCAGAACTGATTCAACAGCACCTAACAACAACAACTGCTTACTTAACCTCTAGCCCTTGAAGCTAGGAGTCCTGGTGTGGCGCTGTAGGATAAGCACTAGACTGCTAACCGCAAGGTAGGCAATTCAAACACACCAGCCGCTCCATGGAAACCCTATGCAAGGTCACTATGAGTCAGAATCAACTCAACGGCACTTAACACCAACAAAGCCCCTTCAGCATGCAGTCCCCTTCCGCTGACTGGCACACAGTATAAGGCTCCCCGGGACCTGGCGGACAAACTCATTCTGCTCCATGTTCCTTCTCTCATTCCTAGAGAGCTACCTTCTGGGGGCTGTGTTGTTCTGGAGACCCAACCTGATAAGGCTTATCGGAGGTTGTTTCCTGCCTGTTCCTTACAGATACTCTATAACCACGCTGATTTAAAAGGTTCATTTTATTGTTAGGGTCCTCATACTTATCAGGTGATGGCTTTTGTGTTTGGTTCAGTCAATGGTAATACTAATAGTTCTACTGACATAGCAGTTACTACGTAATATGCACTGATACAAGCCCTCTATCCAACCCATTCTTCTTGGATCAACTACCAGAAGCAGCAGTCAAGAAATCAAATGACGTACTGCATTAGGCAAATCTGCTGCACAAGAGCTTTTTAAAGTGAAGAGCAAAGATGTCAGCTTGAGGACTAAGGTGCACCTGACCCAAGCCATGGTATTTTCAATAACCTCATATGTATGTGAAAGCTAGACAGTGAATAAGGAAGACTGTAGAATTGATGCCTTTGAGTTATGGAGTTGGAGGAGAACATTGAACGTGCGATGGGCTGCCAAAAGAACCAATAGATCCGTTTTGGATGAAGTGCAGCCAGAGTGCTCCTTAGAGGCCAAGATGGCCAAACTTCATCTCTTATACTTCGGACATATTGTCAGGAGGGACCAGTCGCTGGCGAAGGATATCATGTTTGGTAAGGTGAAGGATCAGAGGAAAAGAGGAAGACCAACAAGATGGATTGGCCAAGTGGCAGCATCGATGTACTCAAGCGTGGCAACAATAGTGTGGTTGGCCCAGGATTGGGCAGTGTTTCGTTCTGCTGTGCATACGGTTGCTATGAGTCGGTGCCGACTCGATGGCACCTAACAACAACAATCCAACCCAATCATTACAACAACCCTCTGATGGAGGGCTTATGTATCGACCTCATTTACAGATTAGTAGAGGCATAAAAGGGTAAAGTACCTTTGATAAGGTGACACATATCACTAGAATGTGGTTGTTGCTAAGTCAATTCTGTGTAAGTGTTAAGGTTGGGATTTGAACCCACATGAACTGGTTCCAGGGCTCTTGCTCTGAAACCCTACGTCACCTCTCACTCTACAAATAAGTTTGGGTTCACTGATTCAGCTCAACACAAGAGTATATTGACAGTAAAGAGAGCTCACTTTGGCTTGGAGCCACAGAATACTTACCTGTGCCAAAGTTGACAATATTTACTTTTGCCTTCTTAACTACCAGGGACAGCGCATATAAGGCAATCTGCTTGGCTTGTAAAAAGGCTTCACCCTCCATAGAATTAGAGCAATCAAGACAGATAATCACTTCAGTCTTCTCAGCTGTTTCAGGCAGGGAGGTACTGAAATCGGGTTGGAAGACAAGCATGCAAGCCTAAAAGGAGAAAAAAAAAGTTCATTCCCATTGCTTCTTATAATGTAAACTGCTCTGACTTGTTTATATTTGCACTATTTTGTGTGTCAAGAGATCGTAATATTTCAGTCTAAATACCTACCCACACAATCTTTGTAAATGGCGGACAAAAATGAAAGGCTTGTAATTGGGATATGGTAACAGAGAATGAGTGGGCTGCTAAAACTTTGTGACAAGGCCAGGGCTCAGGCAAGATGCTGCTCGCTCAGTTTCAAACTCTAATAGGCATGTGTCATGTTCCGATGATAACAGTTGGCAAGAAAAGTCCTACGAACCTCAAAGAGACAAACCAATCAACGTGTATGTTTGCACGGATACACACAGACAGCGCATACCCAATGTGTGAAATCAGTGTCTATAGAAAAGATCAATTCTTCCCATTACTGCTGTGTGTTCCTATGACTGAAACGGGCCATCAGTTTTCACAGCCTTTCACTACCAAGCCTGATGGTGGAATTTGAAAAACATACGCATGTGAATTTGTAAACTGAGGTACTGGCATAACAGAAAATGAGTAACTTTGGGTCTGAATTAATTCTATTTGAATCAAACTACAATCTACTCTAGAGACTTCTGATTTTGCTAAAAAGACAAGTTAGCCTTTTTATCAAAGTTTAACTGCTTGTAAACAAAAAGAACACTTGTCAGGATTTCTGGCTTGGGTGTGGAATCCTCGCTGAATGTCTTGTGAATAATGCTCCCTCCGTTTGATCGACAAGGATGCCTTTTTCAAGCATGCCCCTCTAGAGGTTAGAAAGCAGGGCTGGAATTGAATATAGGAAGACAGAGTCTGTAACTACCTCAAAACTCTGTCACCAGTGTGAAACAAATGCCAGTTAACCAAGCCCCAGTACTGATTTTCTTCTCCCCTCAAATTAAGACTTCATTTTCAATCACTGAGAACTGCTCAATTTCTGCTGACTGCAAATTTTTAACCAAAATAGAGACTGAGTTTGCTAAGGGAAGAAGCAGACCACAGTGCTGGTGATGGTGGTGGTAGTGATTATATGTCGTGGAGTTGGTTCTGACTCATAGCAACCCTGTATTGGGTTTCCGAGGCTGTAAATCTTTCCAGGAGCAGAAAGTCTCATCTTTATCCTGCGGAATAGCTGGTGGTTTTGACAGTAGTGAGGTTGGCCTAGGATCGGGCAGTGTTTCGTTCTGCTGTGCATAAGGCACCTAACGACAACAACAAGCAGTGATAGAAAGTTAGCTCTTGGCAGAATGCCTTGTTAAACAATGCTCAGGATGTAGCAAACTCAGTATGTAACAAACTGGCTAACTGATGTCAACAAAATTTTTAAGTTTGTAGTTTAAGTAAACACTTCACAAATTTTGCTATGCTTCTTCCCTTCCTTTCTACCTACCTTTGACCTAATAAAAACTACTCTTGTACTCCGAAATTTAGAGCACATTGCAGCGTTCTACCTGAAACTGGTATGTCTCTCCTTCTCAAGAAATGTTTCCATCTCTTCAGTAAAACTTTTTGTTTTGAATTTTACCAGAGTGTACAGCTGATATTTTAATATGACAACTAATACCTTTTATATTAAAGCATGTAAATTATATAATTATATAAAATAATATAATTTATATAAAAGTAATATTTCAGGCATAGCTCTAAGGTATAAAACATGATCGCTAAGATTTGCAGAACTTGTAATAAATGTACAATTTATACTAGGAAAGATTTATGTAAAATTCCAAAATTTTCTTGTAAGGTGACGTTGTTGTTCTTGTTAAATGCTGTTGAGTTGATTCCAATTCATAGTGACTCTGTATAGGGTTTCCAAGACTGTAAATCTTTATAGGAACAGAAAGCCTCATCCATCTCCCATGAAGCATCGCATGGGTTTGCACTGTTATTCTTGTGGTTAGCAGTGCTGTGATGATCCTACAGCGCCACCAGAAAAAGACCAAGATAGTAGACTAAGAGTTCACATAAGAAGTAGAATGTTAATGCCAGAGTTTGTAGCATCAGCCACTGAGAAGTCAGAAATGAACACAATGGTCTGAAAATCCTTGAGTGGACCAACACTATCTGATGCTAGGTTTTCAGAACTATCAATAATTTGCAAATGTAAATAACCAGTTTATTCTGAAATGTTTTTTCAACAGTTCCTTATTTCTAAGTAAGACGCAGTATACCTCACTGTCTTTCTCAGGATGCTTTTCAATCCACATTCTTGGGAGGTACGCATCAGACAAGCCAACACGGAGAGAAAATCCATTGCCATCTAAGGAGCTACCTTCCACGGTGCTGATTACAGCTTTGCAGTCAGTGCGCTACAAAACAACAATGACAACAAAGCAAGCAATGGATTAACATCATATTATCAATTTGCATTTACCCATCAAGTAGAAATTTGGCATTAATGAGCAATTACATTAACATTGAAATCAATTATATTAGTACATTAACTGTATTAATAATGTAGTCATAAATGATAAAATAAGTTTTAGCAATGTGACCATTACCACATCAGTTACTCTCCTGAAATTCTACCACTGTTTGACAAAGACGCATTTAGGTTGAATGATGAAGTTTGAGACTGTTTCAAATGCTGAATTTTTTTCCCTGTATTTTCCTTAATCTTTCTCTCCATCTGTTAATAGAACTAAATACCATTCTTTTAAAATCTTTATCTGCAAGTTCCAATGTAATTTGTTCCTCAGAGAGGTTTTCTGGCTCTGTATTTTGGTCACTTGACTCTTTATGTGAATTGAGGTGGTCTCTTGTCTCCAAGAAATTCTGGTGATGTTGCATTTGTATTTTATTGGTGATTATATGTTGATGTGTTTTGCCCAGACTTGTCTGATTTCTTTGTTTTGCTATACCTGAGCAAGTGGGATGGCTGTGTTACTCTGTTTGCTAGTTTGACACCACTTAGGCACGCACCACCTGTCTCTTGGTAGGTGTGGATAGAACATACGGCATTTCTATGTTCATACTCAGAACTCTGAGCCATTCTCTGTTCATTGTTCAGGTAGAACTCAGTTGAGGGTGGGTTGGGCAGAACTATCATTGATCAGGTTGAGCAGGAGCAGGGATTAGCCTTTCATGAGCTGGGTGGGGTGTAGGTGGTGCATGTAAAGTTGAGAAGTATGGGCACCCTTGTCTCCCACTGAATGAGACAAAAAGAGATAGAAGAAAGGAACGATAACAAATAAAAAAATAAAATTTAAAACAAGAGAGAAAAAAACCTAAATAATACATTTTAAAAAGGAAAATATTAAGGAAGAAAAAAAAAAAACCCTGGGAAAGGGGAAAAGAGAGAGAGCGAGAGAAAAAATGAAATAAAAAAAAAAAAAAAGGAAGAGAAAGGAAAGTTTAAAAAAAGAAAACTATGGCAAGGGGGATCGGAGGTTTGGGCAGAGGAAGTCACAAGGGTGGGTCCCCTGCTCTGGGACAGAGTTCCAGCCAGCCTAGAAGGTGCCTGCTCCCAGGAGTCCTTGCTGGTCTAGAGGGTGATTGGACAAAGGGAACCTGGTCTGGGCCTGTGCATTCTGCTGGTCCCAGGAGACAATGAGCACATGTCTACAAATACGTGGAGGCATGTATTCTGTATTCAATCCACAAAGGTGTGCCTCTAGCCTCAGGTAGAGGAGGGGCTATGTTGGAAAGTGGGGGAAAGGTATCATTGGCTGCCAGGTGGGTGATGGTGTGGGATTCACACCTCTGGTCACTGAGAGGGTGTGGGGAGTAAGGGGATGATTGCACCTTTGTGTGCTCACCTGCTACTGATGTGGGCACTGGCAGAGTCCTGGGTGAGTGAAGCCAATTCAATTACCAGGTTGCTGCCTTCATCAGAACACAGCCGTGCAAACAATCAAAAGGATCACACGGCATAAGGCCATTTCCTCAGTCTCCCTATTCACTGCTTTTGTTCAGTTTCTTCTTCTAGACTTTATTTGATCTACTTCGTTATCCATTCCTTTGAAGCCCAGGGTTCTAGAATTGCCATCTGTGTCTATTTCATTTGGTTTATTCATGTCTTTGTTGTTGAGGGACTTGAAACTTGTCTGCCTAGTTCACCATCTTGCCAGAATGCTCCTCAAACCCTTTTTAGGATGTTCAAGTATCTACCCTAGAATTAAACCCTGGAGTTACAGCAAGATGAAGTCAGATAAGATCCAACTGCTAAAAAAGCAAACTGGTATCCTGTTACCAGAAGACAGCACATGAGGTCTTTAAAGCGTCAGAAGAGTGGCCTAGGTACAGTAAAATTCCCACATCTGGGTTTTGGAGAAAAGCATAATAAAATGTATGCACCCTGCAAAGAGTGGCCACGTAGAAGACAGCACCTTAAAGACTCACATCCTAGAAACTATAGACAATTCTTGGTGGGTGATCTATCACCCCCAAGTGGTGGTTTGATCAAAAAGAAGAGCTGTGGTGTTGAAGCTGAGAGTTGTTGTTGTTGTTGTTGTCAGGTGCCATCGAGTCGGAACCGACTCATAGCGACCCCATGCACAGCAGAACGAAACAATGTTCGATCTTGGGCCAACCTCACTACCGCCGCCACACCCGAGTCCATCAATGATGCCACCTGGCTGATCCATCTCGTTGGGGGTCTTCCTCTTCTTCTCTGACCCTCCACCCTACCCAGCTGAGAGTACGTAAGGTAATTTAATGCATCGGAATAGGATGACTTCAGAATTACATTGAAACTCCATTTTATATTAAAATACAATTTCAATTCTACCTTTCTAAAGAAAGTCATGCAGCCTTGCCCTTGTCAAAGTATTACTGTTCAAATGGCAAAGAAGACAAGAATCCGTTTCTAACCTATAAAAATTATTGTTTGTTGTTGTTAGTGTCATTGAGTTGCTTCTGATTGAGATCAACCCTATATAGGATTTACAAGTGGCTGGTGAGTTTGAACTGCCAACCTTGCAGTTCAAACCAACCTTGCAATTCAGTGCCTATCCTACAGTGCTACGTCAGAACTCCAAAGAATTGTTTGTTCTTGTTGTTGTTGTTATGTGCCGTGGAGTCGGTTCCAACTCATAGCGACCCTGTAAAGGTTTCTGAGGCTGTTAATCTTTATGGGAGCAGAAAACCTCATCTTTCTCCCGCGGAACAGCTGGCAGTTTCGAACTGCTGACCCTGACGTTCGCAGCCCGATTCGTAACCACTACGCTACCCGAGCTCCTTTTCTTGTAATATGCCATGTGGACTTCATTTCACGAAGTAGGTTATTCCTTCAGTACAAACTTGTGTTTTGATTTGTAACAATGTCAGTCTCACAATTTCTTTAAGAGAGGCTTTAGTCAAAATTGTGATATAACTCTTTTGGGATGAGGGGAGAGAACAAGTGAGAAGTAAGAGTAAAGGAGGAAGCGAGCTGAAGCCTCCTCGATTGTGCCCTTGCTGTTGCTGTGTGCTGTCAAGTTGGTTCTGATTCATAGCAACCCTGTATTAGGTTTCCAAAGAGCGGCGGGTGGGTTTGAACTGGCGACCTTGCAGTTAGTGTTATTATCAATCCAGTGCTGATCCTATAGCACTACACTAGGGCTCCTCATCTATTCTAATAAAAATTTAAAAGGTGAGTCCTGATACAGATCAATCAAGAAACAATCAATCAATCAAGAAACAGCCATAAAACCTCTTTTTAAACCTATGAGGTAAATATCCGAAGAAACAGCTAAAATCATTACAACTGAGTCTATCTCTGGGTGCTGACGGGGGAAGGCAGGGTCAATGGAATTGCTGCTTGTTCTTAGAAGTTAGTATTTGAATTTCTAAACTCTGTGCATGCATTACTTTTATTAATGACTAATTTTAAAATAATGGTTCTCAAGAAATGAAGCAAAGGTTTACTTACCTTTTGTTTCAGTCTATGTGTATTACTAGAAATGAATTTAATCACATACGGCATCTCTATGTTCATACTCAAAGAGAAGCTATGAAAAAGGTAAGGAGAAAACTGCCTTAGTCTCGGATCTTAAAGTTCTGCCTTAAGTTGCTTCTAATAATTTTAAATGAAATGTTAACAACAAAACTAATGTCCATTAAATGATTAATTGATGGGTTTCAAATTTTATGTACTCACCTTTGTTTTGTCCCTATTTTCTTTATGCAAATCTTCTCTACAGTATCCTGTAAAAAGAATATATATATACATAGATATATTATCATAGTTAATCTGTATAGGGTTTCTGAGGAGCAGCTAGTGGGTTTGAACTGCCAACCTTGAGGTTAGTAATCCAGTGCTTATCCTACAGCACCACACCAGAGCTCCATATATACATTACATATATACATTATATAAAATTCTGTTTTTATTAGGGTTCATGATGATGCTCAGCTAAATGCAATCTAACAAAGCCCAAAAAGCATATGCTTATAAAATGACAGCAGTCTCTCAAATACAATACGGGGAATCATTTATGGCCATTTTGACAAAAAAAAAAAAAAAATTAACTGTATGTTCGTGTGCATGTATATAAGTGAGGATGTTTCCAAAAGTTTGTGGAAAAATGGAATTAAAAGATGATGGAACTTTTCCATGCAATGTTTAAGCCCCCTATACACATATACACAATTTGTACAAATAAATAGTGTGTATGTACACAGATATAAATACAAACACATATATATGCACAATTTGTACAAATTCTGCCTATTTCAAGTAAGAATCCTGGAAAGAAATTCCCAGCATGTTAAGCAGTAGCCATCTTTGGATAATAAGATTAAGGATAAAGTTGTTAGTCTTCTCCTTTGCTAATTTGCCTTCTCTGTGCTTATCCACCATTGCTACCTGCCTGTTGGTTTGCCATACTGCATGTGGCTATAAAGCTGGCAGCTGTACCTGGCATTTCAAATACGAAAAGGGTCATTCACACAGTGACATGCAGGATTCAGCAGGGCTTTTCGGCTGAGATGCAGTAGGAAAAAAGGCCTGCCAAGTTCCTTCTGAAGATTAGTCACTGAAAGCCCTGTGTATCACAACAGCACATAGTCTGATATTGTGCTGGGAAACGAGTCCAGGCACTCAAAATATACAGCGACCTTGGGCACACCAACAATCCTAAGGGCAGGGCAGGATCCGCCAGCTGGAACCAGCTTCATGGTAACTAAGAATGCTTATCTAAAGTCTTCATGATGAACAGGTAGTGCAGATAGAAACTTTTTTTTTTTTTAAGGTTTTTATTGTGGATTGAGTGAAAGTTTTCAGGGCACATCATCGGTTTCACATTCAAACATTCATATACCTTGTTTCATTACATTGATTAT